CTGCTCGTCTTTTAAGAGACACAGGAAGATTCCAGGAAGCAGTTAAGTATTCTAACGATCCCAAGTTTGCCGCTGATTGTTTAATGGCACAAGCTCGTGCAACCAAGGAAACGGAAGACACTCCCGATATTCTTCAACGTGCTCTGGAAAAGTACCAGCATTGTGGCGACATTAATGGTCAGGCAGAGGCATCACTAATGCTTGGGAAACTAGAAAAAGATTCTCAAAAGCTTCAAGAGGCCGGTAGATTGTTTGACAAATGCAAAAATTGCTGCGGAGAAGCCGAGAGTGTGGCAGAATTGCTTGTGGCCACAACGTATGAACCTCCAAAGAACTACAAGCAGTGGATGACTGTACGAGCCCTAGAGAGGTTGCTACGACTGGTTACTCTGTTGTACAGGCCTGCCGCTAAGCTGACCATGGCCGAGCAAAATGAAACAACAAAATGTGAAGAGCACTTTGGACTTTTCAAAACTGACGTTACACACAAAAAGAGGTTCTTCTCCAAATGTGGGGGGAGGTTTGCCAACGTTGATCCAGAATTCATTAAAAGCAACGCTTCTAACACAGAAGCGATGATCGATACAGCCGAAGCACGCCAGAACATTGGACGGTTTCTAATTAACTTCTCTGTTAACCTGGTGACAAAGATTCGTAAGATGCTGGAGAATACCTTGTCGAGAAACTCTGTGTGCAGAAATGTGGCAGAGGGGACACCTTGCGACAATTCAAGTTGTGCATACCAGCACCAAGATTCAGGAGAGCACTTCAGCAACCGCTTCCACGCTTTGTTCCACCTCATGTACCTGGAATCAGTTGTCGAATCGTTCACCTTGGAGATGATTTCAAACCAGCAGAGGCAGGACGCTTGCCCCTTAGAATTAAAGGACTTTCATGAATTTCGTATGTGTGAACGTTTTTACAACTTCTTGTTTCCGTCCTCTGGTTATCGAGAGTTTCATCTCACATTACAGCATGTTCGAAACTTGAGGATTACGAAAGCAGTAAGCAAACGAATTTTGCAATTTGCCAACGTCTCGTGGAAGGAAATAGCGGAAGAGAAACGCCGCTCAGATACAGATAATTTCCTTAAAGTGTCATCTTGTCTACAACTGATTGATTCTGCTCCTCTTATGGTGAAGTGGATTTGTGAAGAGGAAAAAGAGTTCCAGAAGAAAGCAAGGAGGCCGACAAATGACCAGTTGGCGAAGAATGGAATGGTTGGTCCTGCAGAAAGTGGTCGTTACGAGAGCTATTTACAGTGGTGGGAAGACGGCAAGAAACGCTTGTACGTTTATGGTGATGTGGAAAATGCAGCTCATCTCATCATTAGACGTTTCCTCACTCTAACAGCAAAACGGAGTCGTATGATTTATCCATCAATCGCCAATACGGTCATGATTTTAGAGCATCAGCTTATCGCTTGCCTTGCACTGTACTCCCGGCTATGCACAGAGCATAGGTACCCAGTGTGTTTACCAGCGAGTTACCTCGCCATGGTCAGGTCTTGGGATAACTTCAGACCAGGAGTTGAAAAGGGCACCTGTACCTTGTACGAAGCAGTTGAACGAAATTTCATTCAAGAATCCAACAAAGGAAGACTATCCAGAGCTGTTTGTTCACTTTTGAACTACATGGTAAACTTGACGTGCGGTGAGGTGGCTCCCTCGTTTGATGTTTTAGGAGATGCACTCAACTCAGGAGATACTCCATCGTGTTGCACTTCTGGAGAAGCAGAGAGAACCCTAGTGCTGTTCCTGACCATGCTCTGCAATTGTGGAAAAGGAATTTCAACTTCTTTGGATGAAACAATGTTGAGAAAGATCTTAAAAATTAACCCCAACCCTCATTTAGCAGACCGCATCAACAATGTTTTAGAGGAAATTCAAAAGGCAAAGGGTTGTTGTGATGTCGTATTAATTTTAAAAACGTTTCTGCAAAGTAGAGGGGAAAAGTTGTACGACTTCCGTTGGCAAAATGGAAAGCTTTGGCAAGATGGGCCATCTAATCCAGCCAGTTATCCTAAGAGTTTCCAAACCGACGTATCTTACATACGCCAAGAATTACAACGAGATCATCAACAAGATGTCGCCTCCAGAGACACAGAGACTGAAACTGCAGATGGAAAACAAAATGCTGACGATCTTGACGCTGCGGGAGAGAGTATGGACGTAGAACACACGGAAGAGGAGCTCAAAGAGAGAGAAAAAGCTCGCCTCGACATGACTGTCACTGCGATGCAAAAATTGTACAGAAGGAAGAAGTTCATCGAGAAAATCATTCTTTACGCTGGGGACTTGCGAGCAAGAAAATTAAGAAGACTGGAATCAATAGAAGAACAAACAAGGTCGTCATCTAATGTGGTAAAAGAACATTTCTCCCAGTTCAAAGTCGACCCATCTGGCTGTGGGATTTGTGGAACTAATTTCAAATTAGTCTTAACAGATGACAGTCTTCCCATGAGCCATGAGGATAATGAAGGTGACTCATACGATTTTTGTTTGTCTGTGTTGTCAAAAAGAGAAAACATTGCTCTCGTTAGATCGGTTCTCCACTGACTGCATGCGATGAGCTTTGCCCCCAAAAAAGGACAAAGTAAAAGTATAGTATGGTAAACTGAGTCAAAACTAGACGAATAAGCTATAGCTAGTTCAAGTACGGTTTTTGATGCAACGGCCTGATAGATGTAAATGACATCTTCATTTTACCTTAGAGAATGCTAAAACTGAAATTTTATGCTCACTGCGATGAATTCTCTCTTTTTATATTTTTTTTTCATTTAGAAGAACGTCAAGAGAACAGTGCAGAAGAAGCACTACCAGATGAAGGAATCGAGACTGTAGAAGCTCATAAGAAAACTCATTCGCATTCCCAAAAACTCAGAGAATTCCACCAGTACCAGGAACTGTATTTGACAAAAGTTCTTCCCTGTTTGACGAAAGAAGAAGAACTGTGCAAAACGTTAGATGATCCTTTCTTGTCTGCTAAAAGGGCACAAGTTGCCCTGGATCTGGAACGTCTGGAGGGAATTCGTTCTTCAGTAAAAAGCGAAGTACAAATCATAGAATCTTCTCTGGACTGGACGAATTGCAGTTCACTTATCAATGAAATAAACAAGTTTCAACGTGCCCTGCAAGAGACTGAGAAAATTGTGGAACAAGGTAAATCTTTGAATACCTGACAAGGTTAAAGCTAGCGTAGAACCAGTAGGTTATATATTCAATTCATAATCGTTAGTTGCAAAAAGGAGATCTTGAGGTAACCTTCGTTTTTCCGGGGTTTAAAATGGGTGTTTTAGTACCCTGTCAGTTCACCTTCATCGTCTTGATAAAAGTTAAGCTAGTGGCTATCTTCATTATTTTTTTCCTAGTCTCTAACAATATTATCCACTACCGTATATGTACATGATTTGAAAGTCGGCAAACGAAGCACATCTAAAGCATTCAATGTTTGTAAACTAAGGATTACAGGATTCCAGTTGGATAAATATTACTTGATATCAGATTCTCACTACTCTGCGAGCAGAGTCTTAGGATTCCAGTTGGATAAATATTACTTGACATCAGATTCTCACTACTCTGAGAGCAGAGTCTCCTTCTACACATAAACTAGATGTTGAAGTCGCGACATGTTTGTCCGACTCTCATGGTGATGGCCGCGACCATACAATCTTCCTGTCATCTCCAAGGGATCGAATGCTAGGTAAACCTAATGAATTACTTCATCTTTAGCTAAACAAGACTCGTTCAGCGATGAAAATGAAGAAGCAGAGCCAGATCTTGGGGATGAACAACTGCATGAAGACAACATAGAAGAAGGAAGAGGAGGAGAAGACGAAAGTTTGTCTATAGCGCCAATGCCGAGCGGAAAGAAAAAAGGAGGAAAATCAAAGCGACGCCATTCCAGGCGAAAAAAATGAACTCGTGAGTTGATAACGTAGCAGTTTAGTTTTGCACCAGTGCAGGTGGTAAATAAAAAAAAAGAGCCGGCATTTTGCTATGGCGGAGAGCATAAGAGCTTTCATGAGTAAATGTAGGTCGCTCTTTGAATGTACTATTCTTCTCCGTCTCAGGAGACAACAAAATTCGCTACGGAGGTTAGTGTTTTCTCTAACATTTTTTCATTCAGTTGTTTCATTTGAGTGAAAACGTAACCTAGTCTTTCTTCTTCGCAGAGGTGAGCGAGGTTCGTTATAGAAATCCGCTGAGAGAAGTGAGCGCAGAGCAAAACTCGAAAAGATCCCAGGCGGCGAGCCGCCGTCTCCCACGTTATTTTAATGCCTGCACTTGCATCGCTCAGCGAATTCATCCCACCCGTTAAAGCCACTTGAGCCTCTGATTTGGAGAGCGTGACCGACCGAGTAATGAACAACCAACCCGAAACTGCCGAGGCACTGCTTGACACTTCGGAATACTTCCGATCAAATTTGAGATTTTCTCTCGCGCGGGAGATGAATAAAGCACGCGGAGAGAAGTGAGCCTATATTGGGATTTTATGAAGAGTTTTTTTTCCTCCGGGGTTCAATGCTTGTTTGTAACGACAGTAAACCACACCAACAATGTTTCGGCCTCACGCTTTATGTAGATTCTTCATATACAGCAGAATTTAACCTAAAAGCATTTTTTTTTCTGGTACAATATTCTACCGTACCTAAAAACTGATTTGAATGGTTTCAAATACCGAGTAACACTTGTGATAGCCAAACTAATTACAGCGATTTTCATTTGACCGGTGTTTACGCCAGACTTCGTCTTGAGTTTGCCAAAAGTCTAATGTGTGAGTTGGTGGTTCTTTTGCCTTCCTTAATGTGAAAAATACATAGCTCGA